GAATATATTTTCTACAATGAAATATATTAATTTGTAATGAAGAAGATTCATTAGGAGCATTTCTCCCTGTGACTCAAAATAGGTCTAGAAAATTAAATGGTGAAAATACTTGCATCAGTAGAGCACAGATTGTTTCAAATTCAACACTATGCATGCTACATAGATTTTACCTCTGTGAGCTGCGAAGGAGATATTTAAAGAGTATAGAGAAATTAGAACTTTTAGCTCAGAAAGAAATTTCAGTACTTATCAAACTTCAAATACAAGAAGTATATGCCAATCATTCTTGTAATTACAAGACTACCTAGCTTTTAATAAAAATAAACATACTACAAAGCTTTTTTATTTTTGGAGCTAGACACCTTTTGGGTGCAAGATACATTCTCCAGTAATGTTACCAGCAACACGTCCAGAACACCATCACCCCAGTACTTTTGTGTATAAGGGAAAACAAGACATTTTCCAACTTGGCCACAAAGCTATCTATAAAGTAGTGTGATGTGCTGGATACACACTCTTGCTAAAAATAACTGTAAAGTAGGCTTTAAGCAAAATATGTGTCAACTTAAAGAATGGGAAACTTTCAGCTAGTTCTTATCACTTTTATCAATCTCTACATTAAATTTATTGATATGCTATGTGTTCACATTATTTTCTGGAATCTCAATGGGTTTCAGTGCACTTGAAGCATTGGTATACAGCAGAGATTTTTGTATTTTGTATTGCGACCCATATAATGCAACCACAAGATGAAGGTGCATAAACAGGTGTTTCTTTTTGTGAATCAAAATAGGTATACAAAATAACAAGATTTAAGAAATTAAATTAAGGAAATCTTCTTAAGATGAAAGAATTACTCAGTTCCATCAGTTTTACTTATTTTTCTCCAGCAGCTTCCTTTCTGTCACGTTCCATGAGAAAGTAATGGCTGTCTTTTTTCTTTATCCTTATGAATTTTCCTTTCTAGCTACTGCTCTTAGCACTTCTCAAAGGCTGCTATTCTATGTAGTGTAATCCTCAAGGCACTGTGTTAAATCCATCCAGCACTGACCCTGTTGGAAGGTGGGCAACGGTTTCAAGTAGAACAAAATTCTTCATGTACTTCATTCAGACCTTTGCAGAGGTTCAGACCTATTGAGTGAATATGTTATATATATGCTTTGATTCAGAACAGAAGGGGCCTCAAAGCTGTTCAAACTACATGTCAAACCTCTTACCATAATTAACAGGTGCATTCACACGGTTTCTCTCCCAAGTCCTAAATTCTGCATCTTAGTTTCTGAAGCCTCCATCAGGAGTGGTTATAGCTGACTCAACAGGACTTAGAGCTGATAGCTGCAGGAACAACTCCAGAATTCATGTGTAGACTATAACAACAGTATGCATGACAAAAATAGATTTCTGTGCCTTCATCCTGTGATACAAACAACCCACATCTTACTGTCAATTTACTAGAATCAGATAATCTTGATGGGAATGTGTGGCACCTAAGTCATAACAAACAAAACTGGAGATACTTAGGGGAAGGTCTGCTAGTTGCAGAAGCTTTGACAATTCACAATGGCGAGCTGTCTTCTGATGTTAAATGCATACAATTTATTCATTTAAAAATAAAAATATACGCTAAGACATTTGGAAAATGTTGCAGGCTGTTGTAGCAAAGGCAATAATCAAGCATAATGAGTTTAAATATTAATTTGCAATGGATTTTGTGTACTTTAGCTTCCTTATAAACAACAGCAGCAAGTTGCATTCCGAGCAACCACCTGCAAGTAAACACTCAATGTTGGTTTATCTGTTTTCTTAGATTAACTAACTAACTAACTAACTAACTAACTAACTAACTAACTAACTAACTAACTAAGACAGATAAATAACAGTCTCATACTTCTCTCATTCATATTTCTCTCAGGATGGTTGAACTAATTTTTAAATTGCAGTGTTTTGTCTTTTTCAATGTTGTAAGCCATACTGGCAGTTTAATTTACAGTTTTATCCACATATTTTAGCAGAATGATGTGACAAATCCTTGACCTTTGAAGGCAATGCTTCAAAATCTCCAGGGTGGTAGGGTTTCCTACATAGCCTTAATATTCTTTGTTGTGGAGGGTCTTAAAAATTCTGAGAAATTTTCTCTCTGACTGAAGCAGAGTGACAGCATGTGCCCACGTTTTATTCATTGAAAAACTGAAGCCTCAGTGTTTGTTGTTCAGGAGTTGTGCAGAGGTGAGTAGAGCACTGGGGGCTCAGCCTCTGGCTGGGTTTGTGTGTGTGGCCACCCTGCCTGTATGATCCCACTGTGCCCAGTGCTGTTCTCCTCAGGAAGCAACACTACAGTTGTGGCCTCACATGACTTTGTTTCTCTTCTTTTTTTCTAAGACCTTGGGTGTTTATTATAAAACAATATAGTTTGTATTGTTTTCTGAACACAGAAGGCACATGCATATCATTGATTCTTAGGTGAGGTAAATATGATCTGTCAGGGAAAATTGCTGTAATGGGACATAACACAGGGATTAACTATCCTGCCATGTATTTGCAGGCCCAGACTTAAAGCCTGCCTTCACTGGAAAATAGTAGCACCTCAATAGTCAGACTTTGCTGAAAAAGACATTTGTATCTACAGAAGTTTTACACGAAAATTTTTTTAGGAATAGGTGAAAATTTCTAATCCACAGCAAGGCTAACATCAAACTTACATCCCTTAGTATTCATGAAGGCATGATGGGTGATTTAAATCCTTCTCCCACACTTAACTAAGGCTACTGTGTCAAAGCTAAGTCCTTCAGCTTCTAACATTTAATGTCATTTCATGCCCAGTGAATACTTATTAAAAAAAAAGAAAACAGTAAAACAGGTCTCATGGGAAAGAATAACCAAATAACCAGGGGTGAACTGATACTTCTGAGAAAGCAGAATTTAAACTCCTGTTTTAAATCAGGGGATACAAAGTTTTCTATAGTGCAGGCATATGCTCCTAACACAAGTGTAAAAAACAATATGTGTGGAGGTTTTCTCTTCTCAAAGGACAATGCCAAGTCTAACTTTTGCCCTATTACAGACCAAAAGCTCCAAATGTTAGATCTCAGAAAGCTTTGTTGAATGGAAAAATTATTTTCGTTTGCTTAGTCTTCTTTATTTTCAGCACCTGAATCCCAGCAGCAGCTATGGAAAGCTTCTGTTCACGAGGACAGAGTAACGAACAGGAAGATTCTGTACTGTGAGGGTGGCATCTTCCTGACATGACTTTGATTCTTGAAATGACAGTTAAGAAAAAAAATACAGTTCAGTTTAACTGCCCTTCCAAGGCAGGTAGATTCTGTTATTATGTTCCAAGAAACCCATCAACAATTAATAACTGTTGAGCTGAAAAGGAGTTTGCTCAGGATTCACAACAGGAGAGAACAACTTGTCTGCTCTGTGGACAAGCAGAACTGCTCTGTGTAGACTTCTGGCCACAAAGAAATGGCCTCATTATTTAAAGCCAAACAGAATATCAAGGACTACATGCCAGCTGTGTAGGGGAAGGCTGAAGTTCAGGGACACTATGGACAGCTTCTCTTGGATATGGTTTCCAAACTTGCACTCTTGACCTGCCCCTATATGATTGTGAGATAGAGAAGACCATGTCTGACCCTCTGATTCTACTTAGCTGTGTGCGAGTTTCACAATATAATTGGAAAACCACCCATGACACCATGCTGGGCAGCTCCATCCTTAGCTCATGTTCCCATGACTGTCAGAGTGTTGGCTGCTACCCCTGATTAGTGACAACTGGGCACCCTCCTTCTAACAAAAATTCTGACATTATTCTTACAGCTCACAGTGTTAATTTAAAATGCATAGAATAAATATTTATTATGCTTAGTTTTAAAAACAGGATGAAGAAAAAGCTTTGTGCCTGTAACTGAATGGGAACCAGAAAAAAAACTGAATAAACAATGAGCAGAACAACAAATAGAAATTCTCCATGAATTACTTAAAGTAAATTTAAAAATGTGTTTTAAATAAATTGTCATTTTCTGTATGTCCAGCCTTTGTCAGGACTTCTCAAAGTTTTAACTAGCAAAGCTCTTACTCTTATATAAACAAAACATCTACTGGTGTAGTTGGTTAAAAATGCTGTCTTTCTGTACTGAGATTCTATATAGGCATATTTATTTTAAAGACCTACATAAATTTGCATCATTTGAGGATCTTGGCCTGATGTTGGATTTGTGAGAACATTTCCTTAACTATAGGGTAACAGAGGAAAACCAGAATATGGTAGCTGACAAGAAAGTACATTTTTTTATCACTAATATACTCCTAATCTTTGAGTGGAATTAATAGTAACACAACATATAGCTGCATGCAGACACTGTTTTTAGTGAGGCTTTTTCTCGAGAGAGAAATCAGCTCTGAGCTTTTTCATGCTGCCATAGCCTTTCTGAACCTCTTCCTCAGGAAGACCAGCCTTACGTGTATTCAGAACTTCTGAAACACAAGCCATGCTGTATTCTAGACACAGAAGGTATGAGAACAAATTATCTATCAAGTAAATTACATGAATGTACCTGATGTACCACACATGCACAATGTGGAATTAGAGCATCCACTGTCAGCAACTTTAGAGCTCAGAATCACACCATTGGGCATCCCCCTTTCTCACTAACTAAACTTAAAATATAAGAATCTAAGTTTGATCTGTTTAATTAGATCAGGACTTAAATGTTGAGAAAACACTCCCTCACACAAATTATAGCTGCATCTGAGTAGCCTTGTGAAACAGGTGAACCCAATAGAGTAAACATTAAACTTGAACTTTATTGCTGAGGGATAGAGAATATAACTTTAATTTCTGTCCTGTGTGGAAGCCTAAGTTACAACTTTAAGGGGTTTTCTCATGCACAGGTTTCATGTTATTTCTGAACAGCAGAGGAGATTCCATCTGAAATTAAACTGATTCTAAATGCATCAAAAAGCTAATTCCCAAGGAAGTAAGAACAGAATGGACTTACTCTTTTCTTGGTGGCTCTGCTGGAATTTTCCCAGGTGCACACTGGGAGGTCTGCTGGGCTTTTTGGGGGGCTGGCCCAGTTTGGACACTGGGGGCAAGATTTTCCGCTTGGGCATTCTAGAATTCCTGTCCCCTTCCTCTTGAGGTTCACCTGATGGCCTTCCTGCAGCAAGTGCTGTATTCTTCTTACGGAATGTATGAGAAGGCCTTGATTCTTCCTGGATGATTGTATTGAGGAAGATGTTATTGGCAGCACTTACTCCCTTTTCTTCAATGTTTTCCACCACAGCTCTGGAGGCTCCTTTTGATAAACTGGACCTGTGGCCAGCAGGCTTCAGGACTATTTTTGGAAAATTGCTGCCCGTAGTTTCTGCAGCAGACTTACTGTTTTCACCGATTTCCTTTGCTTCTTGGTGTGCATGTGTATTTGTTTTAGGTCCTGACTGTCTTTGCAGAAAACCACGTTTATTAGAAGTGTCTTCATTTTGAGATACCTCATTGCTTAGAGAAGGTTTCTGTGCAAGAGGTGGTTTAGAAGCAGGAGGCTTGGGCTCATTTGCTTGTGTTGCAGACTTTAATTTTTCCTTAACTGCAGATACTTTTAAAAATTCTGGTTTTGCCTCATTCTCCTGTGATGCAAAATTTAAATTAGGTTTTGGTCCCAGAGGACATTTTTCTTTATCTGGAGGAGCAAGGAATTTGTTCCATGCAGGTTTTGGATTCAAAGGCTTTGGGTCCTCTTTTGACGGATCACTGGTTTTGATAGACAATTTAGTGCACCCAGTTTTTTCATCATTTCCTCTGTTAGTGGGCTGAAGCTGAACACCAAACCTTTGTGCCACAGGGCCCAAATATGGTGGGTTTCGATCTTTCTCTGTTTTATCATCACTTGAAGGCTTGACTGCCAGTTGAGGCTTAGGCTGCACAGGTTTGTGAAGGGTACTGGGTCCTGAAGAACACTCATCATTTGCTTTTTTTGATAATTTCTCAAATGCTGCTTTCCTTGTCTGTAATCCTATTGGGATTTCTTGTCTTGGGATTTTCATGGGTCGGCTGTTTGAAGTATCCTCCGTGTCTCTGTTACGTGCCTCATATTTCTCCATGAGAAACTTCACACGCGGCTTCCAACTCTATAAACATAAAGAAGAGAAAAACAAAGGGCAGAAATGGAAAGTACTGTTGTAATGTTCACAAATACTGTACTTTAAAGAGTTTCCTGGTCTGAGGCTTTAGTACTGCTGATTGGCTAAGGAGGTGCTATTGCTCCTCTTCCTGTAGGGTTAAGAGAAGCTGACAATTTCATTGTATCCTTGCGGCATTTATACAATATTTTAAAATTTTCATTCAGGTGCTGCCCTTCAGGTACTGCAGGTACTAAAAATCTGATTGTGCTGGAACCTGGGGGAATGTACCAGATTCATGTTATTCCTGCTAATTCTGGAGAACTGCAAGTTCCTTTGTGAAAAAAAATTTCTTCTGGTTGGTGTATGTGTGTGTCAATTTTTCTTTCCCTTCTCAGCAAATTTTTTACTTTCTGCTCCCCCCACCCTCACTTTCACCTGTTTCTCTTCTCCATTTTGCATTTTCTGAATAAAACTGTGCATGTGTGGGTAGAAAATGAAAGTATGTGAAGTAAAATGGAAAGAAATGACCATCAATACCCCAGATATTGTCAAAGTTACTAAATTTCTTGAGAAAAGAAAAGAAGTTGAGTAATTCCAAGATTATAAAAGATTATATTTTATTATTATAAAAATATTATCTTTTATTAAAAAAAAATAGATGTTTTAATTAGTCAGCCCAATTCAGTAACTTTCAGGAGGAATCTTAATTATGAACTGAAACCAAAAGTTCAATACATTTGAATTCAGGAAAAATAAAATACATCACAGTGCAGGATGGGAGCAAAAGGCAGTGGTCCCATGCACTGGGCACGGGCCACCTTTAGGTTCAGGAGCCCTTGGGAGCAAGAAGTCTTCTTCCCAGCTGATAGTGGCAGCAGGGGTGCAGATATGGCAGACACATTGATTAATAAAACTTGCAAGTAGGACCTGGACTTCCTGTATGAGTTAAAATGTAAAATTTATGGTATAAAGCAGGAATGTTATAACTAGGTAGGGTTCTGAATAATCTATTTGTAAACAACCAAGTATTGCAACAAAACATAATAAATAGGTGCGTGAAAAAGAATTAGAGGTTTAAGAACTGTGTCTTAACTTACTGTGGTTCAGCAAGTGCTCGGTGTTTTGATTTTTTTTACTTCAATAACAGGAGCTTCTCAATTGGGCTTTTGCTCCTTTTGCCTTCTGCTTGATTTTATCTCATTACATAAATAGCCTGTTATGTTGGAGTAGTTATATATATTTAGAGAGAGAGAGAGAGACTTCTGCAACTTAAAGGTAACTATCCCAAGTCTTTCAGCATTGCCACGAAATTCAGTCTTTCCAAACTGATTGTGTTGAGCTACAAATTACTTACATTAAATGCAGCCAGAACAAGGTAGACATAATGAAACTTATACCCAGCAACCACATTGTTGGGTATTTTTGTGCATATAAAGAAAGGAGGAAGTACACATGTACTATGGAGATTATCAGGGTTAAGCCATCTACTGCTGTTTGATGCATACACACTCACACACACACACAATTACATTGCAGGGGTATGTACAGGTATCGCTAATTACTCAAGATTTGTCCCACAATACCTCATAAGACACTGATTTCACCATCTTAGAAAGTTAAGCCAATCGCAGGACCAGAGAGAATAAAAAAGCCTTTTGTCTCTGATCTCTTTTGACTTTTTACTAATTCTTTTTTTTTTCCTAAGGTCTGTAACAAAATACAGACTATTAGAGATAGTATCATTATAGTTTATGTCTGAAGCCTTCAGAACTTCGAAGTTAGGACTTGATCAGCTGCTTGGCCAACTCAGCAACTCATTTCTTTTGAAAGTCATAGCAATAAATTGATTTCTTTGTTACTTCTTCTATTTGAAATATAGGAAAATGTACTGTGCAAATGACAACACTTTTATATTGCAAGAACCATTCAGCATGTAGACCTTTAGGAAGCTGGGAATGTGACTTTGAAGAAAATTTTATTATTATGATACATGGTTTCTGAGAAATTTTCTACACTTGCAATAGCAAGATTACACGAATTACATGAATTACATTCATATATGCTTTCAAATGCACTATTCATTATTCAAATGAACCATTCATTATTGGCATGTTAGAAGTGTCAATGAATTTTTAAAAATAAATTTCTTCCCAACACTGTGAACAAACCTTGCCCTAGTCATACATATTTACAAGCTCAGCAAGAGGGAAAGTTCCTGGACATGTGGAAGAGTTTACAATTAAAAAATAAAGCCTCTTTATCTTATTTGGTAAAGGTAATAGTAAGAATCAAAAGAGAGTAAGAAACTCTCTTTGAAAATCTTTCTGCTTATCTTTAATGTACAACACCAGTTTCGGCCTTCATAAGCTGTGTTACATTAGAAGCCATGTGGATTCTAATACAGAGCCTGGCTGGTCAGGTAGACAGAGGGGGACTGGGGAAAAAAGAAAATGTTTTGTCTGTGACCCTGGTTATAGAGTAATCGCTACAGTTTCTGTGCTTCCCTTCCCAGAAGCGACAGCAGTTACCTACTTCATTATCACACACAGTAAGTTTTAAATCATGAAATGGGAACTTGAAAAGATTCTGAAGAGAGATTAAATTCCCCCTACCCTTCCCCTCTAAAGTGCAAAGTATCTGTGCAAAAGAGGAGTCTCATGCAAAAGCTTTTTGGGTTATTTTCTGAACTTTCTCTTTGATCTCTATTGGAAACTCAGTGCAAAATATTTTGGCTTTTCAACTTTTGATCTGAACTGCAAGCAGCACATAAGGAACATAGTAAGAGTTCCTTTGATACAAGATAGTTGCATTATTGAGAAATGTTTGCTCAAATCTAGATCAATACCTAGGCTATAGCTCCCATGCCATAGATACATTTTCATATACAGAGCTTTCACAGCCTTCCACTGCCTTCAGCAGAGACTCATTCAGGTACCAAGTTACACTTGTGCAGAATTGTTCCACAACTACACCTTAGTGACAGCTCAGTATTAACAGGACTAATTACCCATAATTTACAATATGTCTGCACACTTCTGTACAGAAGTACGCTGTAATGAGAACACAAAAGTACATTAAAAAATTCATCTGTATTCTTCCTGAGTTTAGTACGGATATTTCTGTCTCAACTGGCAGCCTGAACAAAAAGCTTTTTTTTTTCTTTTTTTTTGTTTTTTTGGGGTTTTTTTGCCTTGGCATAAATATAGCTTAATTATTTACTTTCCTGTTTTGGTGAAGCCAAAAGATTATTTCACTTCAACTTCCCCTTGAGGCCACTTTTTCTTCAAACACTGACACTGGAACAGTGAATGGAATAGCAGATGTGTGTGCATACAATTATTAATTAGACAAATGAAAAATATTTAACTTTTGACTATACAAAGAATTAATTCAAAATACATGCAGATCTGATTTATAAAGGATAAAACCCCCACCTTTGCTCTTCTCAACTGTAACTTTTACATTTCTATTCCCAAGTGATGGGGTCTAAATATACCCTTTAAAAACTCAAAATCAGATCTGGATGAGTTTGCTAGAGATTAATAAAATAAAGATTATAAAACTATCCCTTTAAGAAGAAAACTATGCTTACTCATGAATTCTGTGATAGTGAAATAACCAGAGAAGTCGATAAGCACTAAGGGAATTGAGCTCTAACCTATGGGCAGGAAATAAGGAATAAGAAAATGGACAAAAATGACAAGGAAAATTACACAGAGAATTATAGAAAAATACAGATCTGAAAATTATTTTGCAACTTTATATGTCTGATATAACTTCTACTGAAGTTAGTAGATTTGAGGCAGTCAGCATTTACATTCTGAATTTGTGATCAATTATTGCTTGACTACTTTCTTTTCCAGACACCTCAGAATTATCATTATTCAACTTCGTTGTTTTCAGAAGAGATTTCCAAATTGCTTTTCTTCCCCTTGAATATAGCTATAATTACTAGTTCAAGACTTGCTCTAACAGTAATTACATCATTTGGAAAGTGAAGTTGAGAAGTTGCAATGATCTGCACCTATGAATGTGTATAGCAGAAGGATAAAAATAAGATAAAGACACACAGTTTGCTCATACAAGACTTGCTAACACAATGGGTGGTATAGAAGGGAAATGAGGCCTCATCAGATAATACTTAAGAATGAGGAGACAGGCTATTCTTCTGTCTGGGGTTTTTATGAAAGGCAAACCTCTAGGATGGAGAGGATGGAGAGAAATCTAAGGGATTCTCCAGTGAGAGGCTGACAGCCCCTATGTTACTTTGAGAGCATCATTTCAAACATCCCTCTAACAACAACAAGAAAAAAACAACACATACATGAGGATATATGGTTATCAAAATTATACAAGGCAGTTGTTCCAGCCTGGTCACAGTGTATTCTACATTTTTCCACTGTGCATTCCTCTTATATTTCTTCTTATATCTCTCTTGCCACTTTTTCTCACCTTCTATCTAATCGCAAGACCAGCTACTCATACTGCAGAAAAATAAAAGGACCATTCCAAGTGAGTTTGAGACATGGACAAGTGAGGGCATAGGGCTTGACCAGAACAGCCAGATTAAATCCCATCTTGTTCCCAAACTGCTTCTGTGAAAGACTATGCACGAAGTCAAAGCATCAATAGAGGCATGATTATCTGTTCATTCTATGTCCTAATAGGCTCATGACAAAATTTCTCTCTTAATGGATTTTTTGGTACCTGTTTAAGTAAAAGTAAGAACTATCAACCACTGCCAACTTGGTCTTCAAAAACAAAAGCCTACTGTCTTCAAATTTTCCATCAAGAATTTGTATCTGATATAAACAGACTAGTTAATATCAATTTATTTTACAAAATGGTTTTAATATGCACAAAATTTCATGATACTTAATAACTTCCTTTTAAAAATTATTTTTCTCATGTGCCTTCTAACACCCTTTATCAATTATTTCTTTCAGATTAATGTAAATTTTCTCATGATCTGCCCAGAAATGAAACAGATTTCTTTTCACTCGGTGCCCTCCTTCTATATAGTGTATATAGTCACTGTCTTATGAATGTCTTATTTGTCTGGTTATCCCACTAAAGTGAAGGCTCCAAGTCTCCAGGAACAAAAATTTGCATTCCTGTCACTGCGCAGGTACTACCAATGTTTTGAGGATTTCAGGATCCCATATGATTTTTAAGGAAATTTTATGCAATTTTAAGACATTGAATAGCATTTTTACTCAAACCTGGAAAGGAAAATATTTTCCATGACCAATTACTAACAAAATACATACACTGATACCTCAACCCAGAGTATGGTATATTAATTGATACTCTACCCATAATTTAACAAACAACAAATAATGCAAAGGGGATAACTAAAAAATAACTGCCTTTGAAGATACCATTTCTGCTATTATTCAAAATGCAAAGGCCACTTAAATTAGGACCACTTTATTAAAGTTTCAGAGAACTAACCACAAAACTCTGAGAGAGAAAACTCCATTTTGTCAGCTTAGCATCTTTTCAGCTCCTAAACTAAGTAAAATCCACAACTAGATTTCCAGTTAATTAAGTAATATTCAATACCTTGTAGTGATTCTATTTCTTCTGGAACTTTCCACTTATTTTTTAGACAAATATGTACAACAGTTTACCTGAATATCCCAAAGCTCTCCAGTATTTTGATACAGGCAGAAAAACTGGCTCCCTCAATGCGACAATCCACGGGTGTATCAGCTTACCAGCCTGGTCTATTTGCTAAAGAGGAGTTCTGCTTCTCACACAGGAGTTTTTGCTTCTCACAAGATACACTTGTGGGTTTCATTATCATGAACAGTTACTGCTCTCCACAGGATATTAGGCAAGAAGTGCTGGAGGAAAAGGGAACTAAAGGGTGTTTAGACTGGTTGGCTGCTTCCATTAGCAGTAAGCACCATGTGATATCCAAAAGTATTGCATTCACCCCATATTGCGTTGCCCTGTGAGGCTGCCTTGGTGCATACAAACCTGAGCCATTACAGAACAGCTGCTAAAGAAATGTGTGTGGCAATTACGGGCATAAAGGGTGGACTGGCCACAGGTCCAGTGCCCTGCTACCACTGAGAACCCTGCATACATGGCCCACTCTCAGGTGTCAGCTAGCATGCTCCTATGCTGCCAGTGAGATCACATTTGCCAGTCGGATCTTGAGATTCTGCTGACCAGTTTTTTTAAACTTCTGTTATGTGGAGATATTTAAAAAAACCCAACAACTACAATCATACATTTCTTCTGTCCTTCCTCCTGTAAGTTTGAGTTTGGAGGATGATATAGGATAGAAAAGCCAATACTGAGTAAATAAGCATCACAAGAAATTCTAAACTTGTGTTTGTGCTGAAGCTAAAACAAAACCACAAAGGCGGAACCCTCTACAAAATACAGCTCAGTGAATTTGCTGGAGCAGTGCATGGGGAGGAGATTGCAGAGGAAAAGTTGTGCGTCTTTGAGCTTAATTAAAAGTTAACTGAATCTTTCTCATGGTCTACTACTCTCCTTCTGCACAAACTTACTAGTATTTCTTGAAATATTTTGTGGTATTAAAGTAAAGCCTTCATAGTGCTTGATATTTCTAGCTGAATTTTACAAAAACTTGTAGCTTAGCTACTTCAGAAGTTTATTAGGGTGCTAGATGGAGCTTATTTGAATTAGAAACACTGCTGCATGTCAATGATAACTGATTTATTTGTAATATATCATAATTGTTTTTTGTAGTGGGAGAAATGCAGTTCTTTATGCTATTCATTCAGCTAAACAGTGTATTTTATTTATAAAATAGTATTTATTTGTGAAAATAATCATCACAGATGATTATGCACTTATTATCAATCTGATGACAGATTAGAATTTGTGACTTGCTGTTGTATGCATCAGCCTTTGTGACTGTTTTCAGATGCTAACTGTAGCAATACAGTCATTTTATGTGGGTAAACACCACTGCAAGGGTTAGCTCACTGTATCTGCTCTAGACAAATCATGCAATGATCAAAGAACTAGCTTATCTTCACAGCTCCGAATGCTAGACAGTTCCTGTTGTCTTCTCTTTCATCCAGTACACACACAGTAAGTATATACCTAACTGACAGAATACTGATGAGAATATAAATTGCAACAAACACAATGAAAATAAGTTTATGCTGTGAAATTTCTGTGAAGCTTGCCCATCTGCAATATCCACCATGTGCCTCATTTTGCATTTGTACATGCAATAGCTTCCTGAAATCTCTGGGGTTTTTTTCTGCTTATTTCTGTGGAGGTTGTTTGTGTGTGATATAGGGAAATTAGCTATTTGTAGGTGAAAAAAGGAATCTGAATAAATTAATATTTTAAGGAATAGGACCTGAAAGCAGCTTAAAGTTATTCTGCCATTTTCTCTTTTCACAAAAACAACAATAGCAGCAGCAACAAAATCACTGGTTCATATTCAAGCAAGACAAGGATGCTAATAATGATAATGCTTTCTCATGTATACACATGCCATTATACTCTTTGTATAGACCAAACCCTGCCTCCAAATTCCAGCACACCACTGGTGTGTCACTGCTCCCATGTGGAAATGTTATGACTGGAACCTTAAGTACATTTTGTTATAAGAGCATTTAAATAAATGTTTTAAGTTTAAATAAAGCATTTAAAGAAAGGATTTAAATAGACGTGTCCATGTAACTTTGGCAAAAGTGGCTACTTAGGAGTTAAGTTTTTCAAAAATTAGAAGAAAAAAGAAAGGGAAGAAAAAAAATCAGAACCCTGGCCATTCAGGAAGAGTGTGGCCAGCAGACCAAGGTAGGCAATCCTCCCACTCTACTCGGCTCTGGTGAGGCCACATCTGGAGTGGGGTATCCAGTTCTGGGCAACTCAGTAGAAGAAAGAAAAGGAGATACTGGAGAGGGTTCAGCACAATTTAGAAAGATGATTTAGGATCTGGAGAATTGCTCTTATGTGCAGAGACTGTGGGAGCTGGGTGTGTTTAGTCTGGAGAAGAAAAGACTAAGAGGGGATCTTATTAATGCATAAAAATATCTCAGAGGTGGGTGCCCAGAGGATGGCGCCAGGCTCTCTTCAGTGGTACGCAGAGACAGGACAAGGAGCAATGTCTGTAAACTAAAACACAAGAAGTTCCACCTCAATGTGAGTAGGAACCTCTTTCAATTGAGGGTGGCAGAGCATTGGAACACCTGCCCAGGGCAGTCATGGAGTGTCCCTCTCTGGAGATATTGAAAACCCACCTGGACATGTGGGGGGTTGGACCTTCCTGTGTAACTTCATCAGGAGGGCTGGACTGGAATCCAGAGTTCCCTTCCAGCCCCAATGATACTGTGATTGTTTGAGTCTCTGCTGTAAATGCTAGTCCATCTTTCTAAGACATTTTCCTTTCATCTTCTGATGTTCTTTGCTCCAAAATGGTTTAAAAAGTCAGGCATTTCATATGAACACCTCTTCCTTTCCAATTCAATAGTCACAAAGAACATCATAGGATTTTGTTACCTTCATAGCTGTGTCAATACTTGTTTGAGTTGCTGTAAACTGAAGGGACATGACACAAAGAAAAAAAAATCTTTATCTTTTGACATTGTTTTTAACCTGCTTCATTTCACTAACTGTAAGTGTATTATATGATCCCAGATAAGGAGAGACTGCATAACATTTGTGAGGGAGGGTGGGAGAAGAAAAAGGCAAAGATGATTGGCTGGGGCAGCTAACCTTTAAACCACGTGTATATAGGGGGAGACAGGGCTGGAGGGGGCCAGTATGTGGGAGAATACTTTTGGACAGGTGCATTGATATCATTAAAACGCTTTGAAAATCTCCTTCCTAAGTTAGAATAGTGTTGCTGTGTAATGCATGCAACACATGCAAATATATGGAGCACTGAGCAAGAGAAAGTCTACATAAGCAGCATTTTTCACTGAAACTTTATTTCCTGGCTTCTCCTCCTTCTCTCTCTCACATGGCTTTTGCCTCCTAGTTGTAACTGAACAGGTTATATTTCTGTAAAAAGTAGTCTATGCAGCAGTGAGTGAAGATGTTGGAAAATTCTTTTAAATTTAGCTCATTAGTGTATGATCCCTGTATTCATGGTTAATGCAAAGTTTCGTACCATATAGTGCTTAGTACAAATACCAGAGATTAATATGGCTTTGTGTTAACTCCCTACATCTGTGACTAATAACTCTTCTGCCAGCTAATGCTTCCTTGTTTACTTCTATCAGTGATTAATATGTACTAGCTGATATCATAGTTTTGAGAACAAGGATTGTATGTCAGAGCTAAGAATGATAAGAGAAGTACATTATGACCTGACACTGTCAAGGAGAAAACTTTCATGAGAAGATCTGCAACCATATCCAAACAAGTAAATGGAAATAATTAGTATATATACATGTATTCAGGAAATATGATGAATGAAATTATGAATTCGGTCTATTAGGTTACCGAACATGTAAGTTTTAAGGCGAATTCCCCATGCACCCAGTATTGCTGATAATGTTGTTTTTCTTAACTAACAAGTTGGTTGGAGAGTTTATTTCCCAGTGTTCGATGGCATGGGGGCAGACTTGGCACAGGAGCAGAAATAACATATTTATAAATAATCTCTGTACATACTTGTACTGAAAGTTTTGGGCTACCCGGTTTCATGCCGCTTCTGGGGTAACATTTTGAGTATGCGAACCCCATCAGAGGGCGAGGCAAAGAGTCAGCAGTCCTGGTTCACAATGCTGTGCCGCTCCCCAGTGTCAGAATTCTGGGGTGAAGTGCCACCTTGCCATGGCAGTGATCCTGTTACAGCATCATGTTGGAAATTACCTGATTTTCACAATAAACTTGATATTCCTGAACATTGGCAGGAGCTTCTGCCTGCAATTGCTGCAGTGCACTATGAGAACTAACATTTTTGGAGGGTCGGTCTGTGTTATCTTTGTGTCTGCAGACAGAGATAGACTTCCTCAAAAACATGCTGCTGCATTTCCATTGCTTTCTCATTTGAAGGCAGTTTTAGTATTTCTGACAGAAGTTTGGTCATAGCAAATTAACACAATTTCCTTGTGTCTACATGCAATGTCATGACTATGGGAACAGCCTGGCTTTCCAGATGCTGCTTGAAGACTACTGACATGCAGGATTCCCTGGAAGCTCCTCAACTCACTGCCGTGGCTCTTTTAAATTGTTGTTATTCAATATTTATAATCTTACAACCATTGCCTAGTATTAATATATTTATACTTGCCTGAACAGCGAGTGCAGAAACCTGTTTCCTCTATTTATATTTTTCAATAGACAGTGAGGATTGACAAATTCAAGGAAGGAGTCAAAGGACACTGGCAGTGTCCTTGCCCTGACTATGCCTTGTGAGGGACACGTTTCTGTCATGAAGGAAACCTCAGTGCTCTCCAGAGCATCACAATCAAGTGTGTTAAGATCCTGTTTTTCTGCTGGGTTGTATGTAGTGTAATAAATCAGAGTCCTTTCTGGGGACAGCTGAAGCTGATGCTGTACAAAATAAAAAAATCTTCCACACAAAAAGCCAAAAGTCTCTAGTTTTTGTGACTTGTGGAGTGTTCTGATCTCAATTTTTGTTTCAACACAAAGCTCATATTCAGACATTAGCTATCATGTTCGACCAAGCGAGTCACCTGCACTGCCCTGCAACCCCTTCCATGCCTGTCCCTGCACTGACCCCCAGTGCCCACTGCCATGTCACAGGCTGCTCCCTGCACCTTTGGCTGCCGAGATCACCCACACAGCGGGCTCAGATCAGGCGAAATGAAACGAAATGAGGCTCTTTGCCCCACAGGCTGTGTGGGTT